ACAGCCAAGATTTGTCTGGCCTAATTTGAACAGAAGACAGAATTATAAATGAGCACTTGCATTCAGACCTTGCCTTCCTGCTTTTTTTAAAAAATATATTCCCGAGTTTCATTATATGTTTACTCAGAAAATACGTTCACAACCCTCTAGAGAACTAGCAGGGGGAAAAAAAAACAAACCAAACCCAACCCCACAAATGTTCTTGCTTTCTCATCTACTGCCTCCTCCCTCCTGCTGGCCACTGCCCAGCGAGTCTACGTTTATTCTGTTATCACAGACCAGAGTGAGCAGGTTACTTTTAAACCATTCATGTGCACACAAAATATCCCAGTGTGAGCTGGCTGTGACAGAAGCTTGGCTGAACGTGACAGGGTACAAGATTGCTGCAAAGATGCCAAAATCACACTGAATAGCCTGAATTTACTAGATGGTTTTTGAATGCATGTCAAAAAAAAAAAAATATTCCATTTGTACAGTAACAGGTGTGTATTTTTCCTTTAGTAGCTACTTAACCACAAAACTCAATTACAATGAAAACTCCTTCAGAAGAATACCTTTTCCTACCCCATGCAGTACACAACACAACAAGGTGTGTTGGGATGGCAGTGGAAACCACTTCTCCCAGAGCTCAAAATACAAGTAAAGCAATCAACAAGTCTGGGAGACGTTTTGTTTCAGAAGACTCAGCCTGAACTGACATGTCATACTTTTGGTTTTACCTTGTCATGCTCCTTGAAGGCGTGTCCACAATGTTTTGGACTCCTGCTGCATGTTGGTACCGTTTCCAGCATCTTTCAAAATAAAACTTTTAAGTCATCGCAGCTGGAAAGCTGTCTGAAGCTTCAGGTTTTGTAAGTTTTTTTTAATTACGGATTTCATGCCTACAGCTCTATATTGATCTGCTGTTCTTACAGCATCCACTGACCCAGATGCATCTAAAAGCAGCTCTGCACACTGAGTGACCATTAATCAAAACCAGGGCAGGTTTTCTGCTTGTTGCTCCATGCTGTGCATGCCTCCATGCAAGGAACAGACAAGTAAACCTAAGGACATGTCTTAGAAGACCTGAGAAGTTCTTAGCACTTAAAGACCAAGTTGCCCCTTGTCAAATATTCAACGTCATAACCTTATGCACCAAAACCAGCCCTTCCCTCCCTCCTCATTCAGTTCATTAACCACAGCATCACCCCACCTCCCTCCCACTTCTAACTTTCAAAGGGCTTGTGTGAAAACAGTAGTTTCATTCAGGCAGGCAAAAGCTGTTCCTTTTGGCCATTTCTTGTGAGAGGGTAACGTTGGTGCTGTTGCTGGGAGCCGGGCATTTGTGCTTTGCTCAAAATGAGTCGTGAGGAAGCATCTAGGAAGGCTCCTCATTCTCTTTTCTCTCCTCTTTTAATTTACAGGTATTATCAAGAAGTAGAAGCATAGATCTAGTATCCTAATTTTGATCTGGAAGCTGAGGAAGCAGTAAAAGGCCAAAGTTGCAACCAAAGCATGTTGACTACAGAGAAACTTCAGAGCCAAAGGCAATTAAATAGGCACTTATTAGCTAGAACTTAACAGAGCAGCAATAAATTTTCAACACGTTTGTGCAAGATTTAAATACAGGACCCAATGAATGCTCACAAAGTCCCTCATGCTTGCACTTCCTCTACATTACACTGTTGCTTGTATGTGAAGGTGGGAGGCTGAGCACAGAAATAGAATCATAGAATCATAGAATGGTCTGGGTTGGAAGGGACCTCAAAGATCATCTAGTACCAACCCCCCTGCCATGGGCAGGGAAATCCTCCGCTACACCAGGTTGCCCAAAGCCTCATCCAACCTGGCCTTGAACACCTCCAGGGAAGGGGCATCCACAACCTCCCTGGGCAACCTGTTCCAGTGCCTCACCACCCTCAATGTAAAGAATTTCTTTCTTATATCTAACCTAAATCTCCCCTCTTTCAGTTTAAATCCATTGCCCCTTGTCCTATCACTACATGCCCTTGTAAAAAGCCCCTCTCCAGCTTTCCTGTAGGCCCCCTTTAAGTACTGGAAGGCTGCTATAAGATCACCCCAGAGCCTTCTCTTCTCCAGGCTGAACAGCCCCAACTCTCAGCCTGTCTTCATAGCAGAGGTGCTCCAGCCCTTGGATCATCTTCGTGGCCCTCCTCTGGACTCGTTTCAGTAGCTCCATGTCCTTCTTGTGTTGAGGACTCCAGAGCTGAACACAGTATTCCAGGTGGGGTCTCACGAGAGCTGAGTAGAGGCACAGAATCACTTCCCTCGACCTGCTGGCCAAATAGTCTGTCAAATACTCACCACGTGTCAGATTCGATCCTTAGACAGGGCTGCTTGTTTCATGTTTCAGCCACTACAGAGACTTCACACTTGAGGAAAAACATAAATAGAAAATCTGGGCTCTTGTAAAACAATGGCTTGGCCAGGAACATGGGTTCCCTTCATCATCATGTTTCCCTTATGCATGAGACACAGCCCAGGAAAATGAGTGGAGATACCTCCTTGAACAAGGGTCTGGTATTCAAGCGATATCTTATTTCTGTATATGTCTTAAAAACCTTAAAACTCAAAATGCTTTTACTTCCCACAATAAAAAGAAATTAAAAGTTCTGCCAGTTGCAGGTTTCCTAATTAGAAAGATTTAATCCACATCATATTAATTCATAAGTTTCTGTTTGTTCCCTTAAAGTACGGATGTTACCGTCCAGCAAAGGACTTCCCAGGACTCTTTCAGAGTTTCACAAACACTGATGAACACACTAAATATCACTCTGCACATTTCAGAATATCATATAATTTGGATATCTCCTTCATAAACCACTGATTCCTGCACACATCAATAACTTGGAAGTTCCCAAAACCAGCAACTTCCATACAGCACAACAGTTTGGAGCAATAAAAGTATGTTTAAAAAACTTATAGGTCACAATTTGTGTTTAACATTTGACTTGCTAGACAGCAAGTAAACTGTTCCACGTGTCAATATTGGTTAGAAATGTTCTTCAGGAATTAAATGTGAGGTTTCACAGCGGGTTTCTCTCCCCATGGTGTCCCCAGAGGAATAAGCAGACTAAAGAGGTGGGAAGAAGCACCTTGCTGATGTTAAAAGTTATTTGCTTAGAAAACATAAAACTGCTGAGAAAGCATAAAGCTGCTAAAACACTCTCCCCTCTACCCAGTTAAAAAGGCAGACTTGATGGCAGCAAAATAGTAAAGTAGTTCCAGGTTATCAAACATGGCTCCTTTTTCCCACATCTAAGGCGGCACTTTTTTGACATTTTAGAAACTATTTTGCTTCCTTTTGAAAGACACCTTTCATGCATCACATCTTTCTAAAACATTAGTGTAAAAAAAACCCCAAAATCACTGCTCAAATCCTAAAGAAAACATTTTGAATGAAACACTGCGTTAGGCCACTGTTTTCACTTAAAACACTGACAATTTTGAAGAAAACATTTTATTTTCGTTTGAGGAACCCCATATGAGATGGCCTTTTGATTTCTCATAACTGTCAACAAGCTGAAAATTCAAAAACTGCACAGCAGAGAGATGAAGCTCCCTGCAGTGCCATAAGCCATCAAGGAAATTCCAGCAAAAAGGGGAATAATCTGCCTTAATGCCAGTCAGATTTCACAGACTATAACACAGAAATCATAAAGTCTAGTCAGCAAAGTTGAAGGGTAAATACAACTCCAGTTGTACTAGGCTGTTAAGTCTTTAGCAGTTAATTTAAAAACTATGAAAAACACAAAGTGATTGCTATGGCAGTTGGAATCTTCAGCTTGGGATTCGTCACTTCTTGACCCATTTCTGGATAAGACTACGTTTAAATGAAGAAAAAAGATAAGTAGAAGAAAAGAAGAAAAATTATGTAGGTAGAACCTACGTACTTTTCACAGGTATAAAGAGTATATATTAACCCCCCAAACCAACCCCCTAACCCCCAGATTATTCTGCTTATCCCTGAAGTACGTGGAAGGCGTTTCCTGTTTTCCTCTTGACTATCTCCCAAATGCCTCTGAGCAGACTGACCACACTCAAACTGACCACTAGAACAGCTACACAGGCACCAAGCTTCAAAAAACCAGTTGTGAAGCCACCTCTCTTCTCTCAGAGGTGAAACATGGGTGCTTCCTCCAAGACCTCTGCATGCCAGACTCCACAAAGCCTGAAGACTCTCAAGAGCTGATGCCTCCCTGTGGGCAAAAGCAAACCATCTGTGGAATGCTACAATAAGCTTGCAGAGAAGATGAATATTGGCTTCATGTTTTGCTAATTAGCAGAGGAATAGAGGTGCAGGTAACCAGCACGACACCTTTTATGGAATCAGACATACTTTCCCTGAGAAAATACAGTGACTCTAATTTTTAAATATGAGTTTCAAAGACCTTTTTAAAAGTTTCCTACTCCTGCCCTTACAAGTAACAAAGGATCTATGTAAGAGTAGCTTCAGATCTCCCTTTATTTTCTTAGTCATTCACCACCCAGTGTAGGGGACTGCTGTGCAGCGAACACTCTTCAGGCTAGGTATGGATGCTTACTAGAGAGGGTGGGGAAAAGGAAATGTTTAAATGTGAATCAGAGAATACATCAAGCCTTTGGAGGACCTGGCTTGACCTTTGATGATAGGACAGGCAGCGAGACAGACAATTTCCCCCCATAAAACTAATTATATAGGTTGAACGGATGCAGTTATCACGCAGGTGTGCTGGTTCAAATGTTTCCTATAGGGAGAAAGCAATCGAGAATCATCGTTTCTTTCACTGGGTAAGACAAGAATCCGTTTCTCAGTGATTGCTATGGCAGTTGGAATCTTCAGCTTGGGATTCGTCACTTCTTGACCCATTTCTGGATAAGACTACGTTTAAATGAAGAAAAAAGATAGGTAGAAGAAAAGAAGAAAAATTATGTAGGCAGAACCTACGTACTTTTCACAGGCATAAAGAGTACATATTAAATGTAAAAATATCCACAGACACATAATGAACACACAGAAGAAGTTTTTGTAAGGACATTTACAATAAATGGCACTAAACATCTTTATTAAGATTTTACTTTTTCTTTTATGAAAAATGGATAGGATTCTTTTTTCCCTTGTACGCAGAGGAAGAGCAAACTACTGGCAAAAATGAAGAACACGTTCTTATTTTTGATAACCATCTTTGTAGTGACAAAGATACAACTGTTTAACAGACAAGAAATACTGTTTATTGCAGACTTTAAGCTGATTCATGTGAAAAAGGCACTATGAAACTTAATCAAACTAGACGATTAAATCTGAATTAAGTGATATTATATATTATATATAATACATATATTATATATAAAATCACACGACCATGTGAAATAACAGAACATTTTTGTGACAAAAATCATTGCATCTTCAAAAATAATATTTGCTGGAAGGGATGTCTCCTTTTCTCCTCCTTTTGCCTCCAGGAATCCACTTTCTCCAAAGATTACATTTATAAAGGAACGATAGCTTTTTACATAAGGAAAAACTGACATCTGGGATCAACACACAAAGAAGTCTAGATTATACACTGTTCTTTTGATGGGTTAAGTTACAAGCAAAAAAATGCAAGTATATTAATAAAATAAAAGTACTGTGAGTTGTTTCATGGCTTTCTACAGCAGATCTGATCACCTCTTTTAGCTGAGTTGTGTTACTATTTTCTAGTTGTTCCTTCTTGTGCAATATTATAGTTCATCACGAGTGAAGTATTGATAAAATCAATGTACAGGGTATTATTTTGCTATAAACAGCAACATTAGTAATAAAACATCTCGGGAGTGATGCAAGAAAGATTCAGCCTATGTTGGGCTGCTGTTCATTCTCTAAACCTTTCCTCTCTGCTGGCATCAACTAAACATCCTGCAGCCAAAAGCATGACAAGAAAGCCTGAGCCAAAAAGGCATAATTGCACACTACAGCAAGAGATGGAATTCAGAATCGTATTATTACTGAAGGGTTCAAATGCTTTTTTATTGCTGGCTCAGCTTCCCTCAGATGAATCACAAACAAAGACATGTTCCAGATAATCTGTCGTATTAATTCCATAAAGCCAAGACTCATCTTTGAGTGGAAATGAATCATGTGCTAATGTTTTCACCTGTCAGGAACCTCCATAGAATTTGCCATCTGTTTATTTTTAATGATGAGAAGCCAGCAGCAGGTACTTCTGTGGAGACTACTGTAAATTTTCTTTATGGTGGCTAGTTACTTTTACAATGTAATAAGACATTCCCCTTCACTGCTTCCTAAAGCAAAGCTGGATGGTATAATGCTACGGACAATGGAATTAAAGAAAGGAGGAAAAACATTTAGTGGCTGTTTCCTTCATCAAAGGACTCCACACCTGAATCTGTGGCAGCTGCACTGATTTTTTCTTGTCTCCTTCTCATGATTTCTTGCAGTTCTGAACTACCACTGTTAGCCTATAAACAAATAAAAAAGAAAAAGAGTTTACTCGTGGTTTTGACATAAGATGAAGTTCTTCTGCTAGCGTTTTATTAAGAGAGATGTTTGAACAAATTAAACTCACCTTGCAGCTCCAGAACTAAATATGCCTTAAGAATCTGGTTAGATAACATTTGGAATAGGAAAGTATTTACACCATCCTTAAATGTGGACCAGAAATGAACCGACAGACTATTAAAAGTGACAGCTTGACTTTTAGCGCTGCTGAGCATCTTTACTCCTCACACAAGCCTCTGGAAGAGTTGGATATCTATGGGGTGAAAGATGGCTTCAGTAAAAGCAGGGTTAAAGCTCAGCAAGTTTGTTAGGATTACACCCTGGAGTACTTAAAAATCAGGGCAATCGTATTTAGAAATTAAAGCACATAAACCCTTGGTGGGTTTAGATTGATGTAAACAAAAAATTCCTGCATGCACACGGGTTTGGACAGCCAAGGCCTAAGGATTCAGACAGCTGATCTTAGCATCCCACGTTACACAATACACCATCATGCATTTGCTGTTTAGAGACACAAGTTTCAAACTTAGAGCACAGTAATAAGAACTGAATCCTATTGCTATATTAGCAACAGTGCACTATTATGAGGACAAGGCTTTATTTCACCTTTTAGGGTGAAAAACAGGTTTGCTGAGCCAGCTGCAAACAGATTGCTTTGACAGTGTAAATGAAGTTGTTAGCAAGGCCAGGACACGTATCCACTAGAGCAGAACTTTCCACAGTGTGCATGACTTGGAATAAAACTAGAGGATTATAAAGCAAGAGCCATACCCCGCTACTGTGTTATTCGGCTGTGACACGACCTTCCAAGCTTCAAAACTACCTTCCAAAATAGCCTCTGAATAAGGAAGCAGAAACTGTTTTTGAAGTTTGTGAAACAAATTTCAACACTGTTAAGGGCAGAATCCTTTAATTGATTCTGAACTCTGAAAATTTATCCATTCCATAAAATTTAATTTAGATTTTTCCCATTATATCTATTACAATGCACTGATGCTGTTACCTGGCAGACAGGTTAGGTGTCCACAGAGAGGGAGCCTGGGATGTTTCTCCTAGGTAAATTACCATTGCTCTCTCCTCCCAGAGTGGAAGGGCAAAGCAAGGGGCTTATTATTGACTCCCTGAAGGTGAGAGAGCACTTTTATTTGTCTTAATTCATCTTGTCCTTGCCTACTTCGTTTCAGATACAGAGCAAGTGCAGCAGCCACCCATTACTGAAGTCATGCATAAAAAACATCAGCAGATACCCGACAACGTGCTTTATCAGAGGTCACAGGGAAATGTTTTTCTGAAAATGACTGAGCAGCCGAGGCTGAAACGGTTTACCTTCCTGATAACATCAATAACAACATGACTGATGAGCTTGAAACGCATCTAAACCAACTGCAACACACCACGTGGCACAGCACATCCTACTCAGAGACGGGGTACGGTGTAGCTAAGTAGCCTGGGGCTGTTCTTGGGAATACAGTTTTTGGAACAGACTACTAGACCTTGGCCTTACTGATTTACCCAGCTTAGGCTCTAACCAGATCATGAGGTATCAGTAAGCTCCATCGTTCAATCCCACTTGGGTGCCTGGGTCATTCTTTTCACTGAGGTGTCGAAGAGAGTAAGCTACTCTTCCAGGCAATTTGATGCACATATTAGGTAGAAACCATTTTTGGTTTAAGAGTGATGTGTGCCCATGCTTCCCACTGACGAGTAGGAAGACAACGAGAATGCGGACCTGAAACATCTCCTTCTGGAGATGATACTGCATCTCTATGCTTATCTTCTGCAGCGCTTTTCAACACCAGAGCTTGGAATGCTCAACAAAAGTTAAGGAAATGGACCCATAAAAACTCATAAACATGGAGACTCTTAATATTTTCACTTTGCAATGGAAACGTGAATCCATGTAGATGACTAGCTAAGTTGCTATGATGGGCTGTATCTGGTATATAATGTGAACTTCAACATTCTGGAGCAACCCCAGAAAACAGCTCCTGGGGGATGCTACTCTCATGAGTATAAAGTGTGGGGTGCGTCCTGCCTCCTCCTGAAGACATCAGTCTGCCACCACCATCTCCTCTGGCAGAAAGGAGGTGTTTGGCCCTGGCGAGGGCCAGCTCTCTGCTGTCCCACACAGAATTATCTTTTTGCTTTTGCTCAGCTGGGTGCAGAAAGCTGTTAAACTCAAAACACCTTTCCCACTCTTGCAGCCTGTTGACACAGGGGCCATTAGGAGTCTCGCTTCCTTGGATGTTTTAAACTCTGGTGTGATTCAGGGCTGAATGGAGTTATCGTGAAAATAAAGTAAAACTATTGAAGTTATGGTACCTATCATTTTTTTCCTCATAAGGGTAAAATTACTAAATTCCAACGACAATGAGAATTCTAATTACAAAACACCGAATTCCTCTGCCTGAGGTAGAACATCATCAGAAAGAAATTTGCAGCTGCATACAGGTGAAGATCTGGTTATCAGTATTTGGGAATACAGCCCCAGATCTGAGAAGCAGGGCTTTCACTAGCTTGTAGAAATGGTACAAATCCAGCAACACTTGTGGAAGACCCTGAGTAGAAACAATAAAGGAGTTCTGCAATGCTAGAGAGTGCGTGGGTTTGCTCTGTCTCTGGCTACTAATGTTATTTGTACTTAACTCCTGGGTCATTTAATGCAGTATGACACCAAAATACTACCTAAAGGATGCCACAGCTACAGAACTTCAAGAAAACGTGTCACTGATTCATCACGTAGGACAATTACTATGGTCAAACCCGTAAGCCAGTAACTGTTTATGAAAAGCAGGCAATAATGCTTGGCTGTAAAACAGGTCTGACATCAGTGCCACCCTGTGTGTCCTTAAATGCTTCTGTTATTAAAAGCATTTCCAGTTGGAGCAGGAAGAACATAGCCCTCTTTGGAACACCCAAGCTCGTCTTGGCTAGGTAACATGTAGACATTTTGGCTGAGAGTGACTCATATCCTATAGCTTCTCTTAAACGAGGACAGCCTTCCTAAATCCTGCAACTTGGAAGACTACAGAGGCAGGAAGGAAGATGCACCTTCACATTCTGGGTAATTCAGCAACTGACAGGCTAAAGCAATCGGGAATTGGGTAAATTCTGAAATTCATCACTTAAACCTCCAATAATTGAAGCAGAAATAAGTATTTCAGTGACGTTTTCACTAACAAAATCCAATGACCTTGTTTAACTTTCAGTACCTGCTTATTAACACTTGTAGAGTTTATTAGACAAGTTTTGACTGCTCAGTTTCCTGCAGAATGAGACCTAACTGAGCCAAGCAGAGTAACAGCACGGACCAAAAAAAGGAGAGACTTCTGCAATCCAGTGCAAATCTGCTTTTCCAACTGACTTCCACCCCAAAGGTGAAGAGTGCTTTCTTAGATACGTAAGTAAAGATCCATATAAACGCATAGCATAATCATGGAGTCACTTTTACACCCTACAGGACATAAGCAAGTCCTTTGACAGGACAAAGAACTCTTACAAGTAATGTTCTTTTAAGTGCAGAGTTAAAACCCTCATTTCTTTGATCAGGACATAAGCAAGTCCTTTGACAGGACAAACAACTCTTACAAGTAAATGTTCTTTTAAGTGCAGAGTTAAAACCCTAATTTCTTTGATGTCCTCCACCAAGTCACCACTCCTGAGGTATATACCATATGTTAGTCTTTTAATCACATTCTGAAATACGTTGCTAAGAAATGCTGTATTGAAAAGAAAAAAAAAAAAGGAAAAAAACCAAAACAAACTACTTTAAAGTTCTAAACCATAAACCACAAACCACTTATTAATGATGATATGGAAGTAAATTTTTGTTTAAGTGATTTTAACAAGTTTTTTTCTTTTTTGCACTTCCATCTCAGTATCAGAGGTCTTATTTATGAAACTGAAATAAGATTGTTGACATTCCAGAAAAGTTGAAGAATACACATGTATCTTCACTAGGAAATGATGGATTGCACTGGACTTTAGTGACATATATTCCTAAGAATAACAATGAAATATTTCTCCCTCTCACAGAAAAACAGAGATTGAAGAAGGGAATAAAGCAAGTTTAACAGTGTTAGAAAGCAATGCTCTCTGATCTACACTGATCAGGTAAATTGTAAAATATGCATCATCTTAAACTTCTCTTTAAAAACACACCTGATGTTTAAAGCTTAAAATCATTTAAGCAAGATAGTTCCAGCTTCATAAGGGGACAAAGACACATTTTAATCTTTTTTCAAGGTTTTGTTTTAAACAGGATGTGAATACAGCTTCTCATTTGTGCTCATCTCACCCCTAGACAGTATAAAGCTTATTTCTCCACTTATCACAGTAAGTTTAAAAAAAAAATAAGTAGATGCATCTGCAATTTTCCTGATTTAAAATTGGAAAGCATTCTCCCTAGCACAACCCTGTATACAAGCTTTTAAGGTGTTTAAGGAACAATACTACTACAACTGAAGTAAACTGCTGCAGAGCAATGAATACAGAGATGCAATACTTTTTATCCTTAACTTAGTAATTCTGCAAACACAGTGTCCACTCAGGAACCGCCAATACAGATGCCCCACCTTTCAACCTGAAAGGCTTCAAGATTCAACAGTGAGCTCACTCTACCACTTTCTCATGCCTAACAAATCACATCTCCCCTACACAGATAAAGCAAAACTTTTGTCACCACCAAAAGTACCAGGAGTACCTGTTTGTCCAAGTACCAGGCAGAGCAACAGGCAAGAAAAAAGGCATTTCACTCTGTTCTGTTGTTTTTCCCAAAGTCTTTTTTGGCTCACTTTGTTTTCTGGCAGCCTGATTACAGCATGGAACAACTTCAACTTGAGTACTACCATGCACTTCTTCTAAAGCTTTATGGACCCCTTTAGAAACGAGGAGAGATCTCACTTGGTGCTTTGAGGAATGCTGTTTCAACAGATTAATACCAAATAACTGAGGTATAAACAATGCTTATCAACATGATGGGAACTGAGATAAAAAAACAAACAGCTGCCTCACAGAAAGAGCTATTTAGGTCTATGGGTTCAGAAACATCGACCCAGCATAAGACGTACCTCCAAAGCAGATTTCTGTACCGTAATTTGGCTGTAGACTCTGGACCCTTCTGGGCAAACAGTCCTCAGTTCCTCTTTATTGAGGGAGAAAAGTTGAGCACCCGTCAGCACACCAAGGCTGTTGACAGTCCTGGAGCCACGCCAAGGGAAGAAATAAGAAATAAGCAAAATTACGCTGGCTAAGGGAGAGAAATACGTTGTCTTCATCCCACATTGTCTCAGGTAGGGCTACTAAATCAAGACTAAACTTCATGCAACAGGATACTTGAAGCCAGTTCATTATCTGTCATAACCAGTACCTTTTGTTGGAGGCTAATATATATATTTTTTTCTGAATATATATCTCTCTACATAGATCTAAAACTATATTCATATATAGATAGATAGATAGATCAAACAGACACCTATATGTACATTTAAAAAAACCCCTGTATTTGTAAAAACAGATTCTTTTTTCCAAGGGTATAGCTGATGTGTCTTGATTTTCAAAAGGCTGATGGATTTAAAAAGGGGGCAGACCACATCCTACTTAGTGACAGGAAAATCATTTTAAGATGACTTAGAATCATAGAATCATAGACTTCTTACATTTTCCTTCAAACTTACACAGGGTTGAATCCTTTGGACTGCAACCACGCTTTCACATCCTCAGGTGAAGAGTCGTAAGTGATGTTAACTACCGGGATGTTTGGTCGTGGCACGTGGAACTTCCTCTGGGCAGCGCTCCGGCCGATGGTGAGACGGTGAACAAGTTCATCCTGCACCTCTTCCATCTGCGATTTCCTGCCTAGAGAGAGAGATGCCCCACAGGAGTTATTCTCAAGGTTGCCTTACCAAAGTCAAGTCATTTCTTATACGTCACTTCAAATCTTAAACCGTATTTTTTTTCTTTAAAGATTCATTCACTAGATCTGACTGAATTATTGTTCTCTTTTTTCCCCTGGGAAGATTTCAGTATTCCCACTCCTCTCTTCACAAAACAAAACAAAAGCAAAAAAATGCCCCAAAATTCAACTGAGACCCTAGAATGAGGAGATGAGCTTGATGTCGCACAGAGGCACAGATCAGTCTGACAGCAACCAAGCTGTAGAAGAAAACGGGCACAGAGGGTTATTCAAATGTCATCATCTGCATTTCTTCATTTAGAATTACGATGTTTTAAAAATCAAAACAAAAAAGATGAGGAAGAATGAAAGATTCCTTACACTGGGGAAAGGCAGCACTTTCCACAAACATTTTTTAACTGAAAGCTCAACTTTTTAGTGAAAATCAATGTAGGAAAAAAAAAACCCTCACTGCTGCTGACACATATCACCTTAGATCTAATAAGCTATTATTAGTAATCAAATTTTTGGAGGAGTTTAAAGAAATTTGAATTCACTCCAAGGCTGGAGTGACTGGGTAGCTGAAACAATGTCGCACTTCGCAATAAAATAAAAAACGTTTAAAAAAAAAAAGTAGCTGCTCTAACCAGAGACAAAGGAATTGGGCAAGATTTTTTTCTCTTTTTTTTTTTTACAAAAAACTGTACAAATTTGCTATCCCACAGAACCCATCAGTCTGAAGCATTTAGTTCAGTTGCTGGTCAATAGTAGGCAACGAACTGAAATGCTTTTCATGCATTTCAACAAAATCAATTATAACGACACTGAAAATTGTTTAAAATGAATATAAAAGGTCTATGGATAATTTCACGAAAATAGGTAGAACCCCAAAAGGGTGTAAATATCTCTTAAATACCTCTTTGGGCACTGAAAAAATGCTGAATAAGCACAGATAAACTCTTCATGCAGTAACTCCGGAATTGCTATAAAAATACTTTGACACACAACTTTCAACTGATTTCAAAAATTCTCAGGATTTCCTTGCCAAGATAGTTTTAGTCATCTTTACTCAACCTTCTCACTTTGATATACAAACAGTAACTACTGCACCTTCTCTGATGCACTGGGATGTTAAAAACTATTCTTTTTCTCCCATTACACTGATAGCAACAGAGGAAAATGACACAACTTCAATATGAAAAAACGGAAAGATAGCAAAAAAATGTGTCTTTCTCTACTTTCCTTTTATCTCCTTCCAAAATCTCTCCAAGGATCAATATCTCTAGCCAGTTAGACAAATAAAAACAAGCTTTACATAGGTTTCTAGGATTTTTTTTTTTAATCATCATCAAAAAAAAAAGGAAAAACCCTTGGTTTAGTCATTTTCTTTTTTCTTTTACAAAATAGCCCTAGGTTGAAAGTGGATAAAATATCTCTAGTAAAATATCTGAGGCATTCAGGCCCTATTGTGGTGGTGGTTTTTTTCCCCCAGAGTGTGGATCAGAAGCCAAAATGACATGTGCTCAGTGATATGTGAAGGTCTGAGATGGGATACACGAGTAAAGCCTTTAGGCAATGTTATCAAAGCATGCACCAGTTATTTTCCCAAACAGGAAGACAGCCAGAAAATTGCTATCTTCCTTCTATTTACACAGATTTTGAAAGACTTATGTCTTATCTAGACCAAGACTATGTCAAAAGACAAATATTTAGCTGTTAGCCAACAGATTCTTACTGGTGCTAGATGCATTATCATCAATAAATAAGACAATCTCGTCGTGAAGCAGGTACTACACCACGTGTTCTCTGCAGGGTTCAGGTGGGCATGTGGGCAGCAGGGGTACGGGCAGGGTTGCCCATTACCTTTGCAGAGGCAGCTATTCTGCAAGGACTGGGAGGTACCTGAAGCCCATTAACCGGGCTTGAACGACAGCTCCCGGGAGGGCACAGGACCTCTCGTGGGTGGCTGAGAGGGCCACAGATGTCTTGACCCCACCTGGAATACTGCGTTCAGCTCTGGAGTCCCCAGTACAAGAAGGACATGGAGCTGCTGGATTGAGTCCAGAGGAGGGCCACAAAGATGATCCGAGGGCTGGAGCACCTCTGCTATGAAGACAGGCTGAGAGAGTTGGGGCTGTTCAGCCTGGAGAAGAGAAGGCTCTGGGGTGATCTTATAGCAGCCTTCCAGTATTTTAAGGGGGCCTACAAGAAAGCTGGAGAGGGGCTTTTTCTGAGGGTGTGTAGTGATAAGACAAGGGGCAATGGCTTTAAACTGAAAGAGGGGAGATTTAGATCAGATCTAAGGAAGAAATTCTTCACTCTGAGGGTGGTAAGGCACTGGAACAGGTTGCCCAGAGAAGTTGTGGCTGCCCCATCCCTGGCAGTGTTCAAGGCCAGGTTGGATGAGGCTTTGGGCAACCTGGTGTAGTGAAGGGTGTCCCTGCCCATGGCAGGGGGGTTAGAACTAGATGATCTTTAAGGTCCCTTCCAACTCAAACCATTCTATGATTCTATGTAACCTCTTAGCATGCAGTAACCCTTCACACCTCACACCCTGTACCTGAAACCAGGATGGTCTTCACGTTTTCCATCTGCAATGGATAGAGAAGGCCATGGTGGATTCAAGGAAACACACCTGGTACTGCAGGCAAGTCCATCTTACATGGAAATAAAATGATCATTTGTGTGTGTGTGTGTGTGTGTGTGTGTGTGAAACTCACCCTCCTTTTGTAACTGCTTGGGTTTCCGTTTTACCATCATGTGAGGTTCAGAACACGCACATGTAGAAAATGTGTAATTTAAACATTGGCTTAAAACGAAACATTTATCTGAAACACAAGGCTTTAAGGAATTTAAGGATTAAGCAAAACACACAAGGAGAAATACTTTTTTTTCTTGCTTCTTGGACAAACTTACGATCCACAGGAACTTGCTTCTGCCTCTGGGCGTCTCGCGCAACGCTCCCGCCGCTGTCGCTCGAGGTGCTGCTTTGGCGGCTGATGGTCACTGGCGCTTTGGGCACGGGAACTGGTATAGGTGCTGGTGCACTGGGAGGGAGGGGGACAGTGGCGAGGACTGGAGCAGGTGTTGGAGGCGGTGAAGGAGTAGCAGGAACTGGATCAGGCTGTTTTGCAACGTAGTCCGTCCGTTGTTTCTGAAAAGATGCAGAGAGACTCGGTTCGACAACGAACCTCAGACAAGAAGTCAGGCAAAGCCAGGTTTCTGCAGAAAACACTGGGATGCTTTGCACCACCTCACTTCATTTCTTGCAAGAAAACATCTTACTTGCCAGATATCGTTCCCAAATTTGCCACAACATCAACGTTTGACATCGGTTTCCTTTTCTGTCAGCCACAAAATTAATCTTAAACACATTTTTATATAGATGATTTCTATAAATGAAATTGTTTTTCAATTCCAGAGTTCTATTACCTGGCAATTTTGAACAGCTTTGGAGCTTATCAGTATAAACCCAAATATTTTGGTTGCCAATATTTATATATATTGGCAACCTGGTGTAGTGGAGGATTTCCCTGCCCATGGCAGGGGGGTTGGAACTAGATGATCTTTGAGGTCCCTTCCAACCCAAACCATTCTATGATTCTATTTTAGAAATGTTACGCAAAAAATAGCTAAAACCAAACATATCCAGCTACCCCTAAGCCTGACTAATGGTTTAACTCACAAATGTCACTGAGGTTGGGATAACACCATGTTTCTTGAACTGCAGATGCCATTTAAGCGGTTCCTGCTCCTCCTACCCATTCAGTTGTGCCATTTCAGCTACTTGTGTGATCACTATATGCCACCTCAACACAACAATTACAAAAAAAAAAAACCAACAACCCACCACGAACTACAAACTCCATAATTCTTGGAATAGGGCTGTTGGGTTGTTTCCCCTGACTTTATGTAATGTTCTAATAACATGCAAATTATCTTGCTGCTAACAACTAACTGGCAAGTGTCTCAAGAATAATTCTGGGGAATAGTTTCTTGTCTCCTTCTTTGCCTTTAGAATAGCACTGGTTACAAGAGGCATAGATTTTCCCAAAGCAATACCAGTGACAGACAAAGCCAGAAGTTCATAAGCAACCTTTGCTACCCTTTTCTTTCAAACAGTTCAAACTCCACATCTCATTATTTTAAAAGTGCTCCCTCTCAGCAGTTTTGGACTAACACAGCTTAAAAGTTTAATATTAAAGTTTGTTTGCTCAACAGGGATGCCTCATTTCTTAGTTATGAGAAGTCTGCTTACTCTGGTATGAAAATAGATGAGCGCATTCCCCAGATTCATTGCTCCTTCCTGAAATACTCTTCCCTATTTCCTTGGAGGCAGAGGGTTTATGGCAGATCAAGTAGGGAAGTATTTGTACGAGCCGTGTATGTTAGAATCTGAGCAGCACATCTCTGGCCTGACAAGTCAAACTTTCATTAAATGTCAGCAACAGCCCTTATACAGGAATCCCCAACCCGGTAAGTCTAAGGCATTTTTCTGTGAATGCAAACTGGGACCATTGCAGCTCAGCTATGCTGAGTTACACCAGCAGAAAATTTATCCCATCAGCTTCTATGGCCAGTCAATTAAGCCTAGGAAAAAAAGTCTTTTGTTTCCCTTTGATAATTTTTCACTTAAATTGTAGTAGTCAGCTGCTGGGGCAAACATATAGTCTTACAATAAACCTTCAAAACCCCATTAAACCTTTTCAGGTTTGGGGTTTTTGTTTTTATTTTGCTTTAGCACTTAGTTGTTCAAAGGCATTTGTCTCAACTACTTTGTGTTCACCTTGTGCAGTGCATTGGGGGGAGATTAAAAAAATATATCATTGACTTTTCTGTATTCTACTACTTCAGTGTTAGGACAAAAAATGCTTTTTAGAATGAAAAAAAAAGTGAAATGCATAATATAAAAGAGAACAAGCAGAACAATGTATATTTAAGAAATCTCTCCTTTGGTGGAAAGAGAGTGCCTACTAGGTATATAGTAAGTATACTTTAATTTATGATACACAGATGTACTATGGTATATCTAAAATCTCGTTAATTATTTTAAGAATTTCACAGATATTAAAATGTTCTAATGATATTCATATATTTTTTTAATCTTGTTCACAAATTCAAATTGCTAGACTGTTATCTCCACGATGTACCCTGATGTGTGCCCTCACCTTCTTAAACAACATGCAAGGAAAAAGCAGGGCTCTTTTTATCGTAGGGAGGAATCATGACAAACCAAGGCATCAACTGCACATCACCACAATCATAATCCAGAAAAAGTGATAGCTAAACACTGCACGTAGCTCTCAATGGATGCTACTGATGGAGTTTCAAACACATGTTGCACTGCAATCACAAGCCTCATCGAAACGACTTGCTGGAGTGAAAATAAAAATTAAACTGGAAGCATCACTCAAATTCTAAATTTACAGATGGAACCGCATTGAAATACACTTCACATTTTGTTGAACACTGACCAAAAGCCAATTATACATTCGAATCACATTAAACACTTCTTTTTTTAATTCTTCCTTTTTTAACTCCAGATCTTTTGAGGACATCCACACATTCATCCCATCACTTCTATTCATTGCTACAAACAAAACGAGCATGCACTATGGAATTTGGTAACTACACAGTCCAAGAGAGTCATTTTTGAGCTTCAATATCCGAAGAGTAATTTTGTTACCTCTGAAAGCTCTCCCAGCAGTTGCTGTGAGGAAAATGGAGTAAATCACATGGATGAGTATTGTTACAAAGGTAAAAAGTAACTGACTTGCACCCCACTCCCGAAATTTCACATATATTAGCAATTTAAAGCAAAGGAACATCAGTGCTAACAATTACTTCTTCTTACTCACTAAACAACTCACATCATGGCGTATTCTCACATTCTTTTTTTGAATAATGAGCCAAATGTTGGCTAAAACACAGACATATGTGACACCATATAAGCAATGAACTCTTCTCAAAGCACCTACCCAGACGGAAACTTAGAAAGAGGTTTAATAAAATACAAAGCCCAAACAAAAAAACGGACAATGGACTGAAAATCGAACGCAGAGAACACTTGGAACTGTAGAACAACAAGAATTAAGTCAAGGCAGGTATTAAAAGATGGATTTATTTATTTTAGCCTAAGAAATGTTGGCTAGCTTAGAAAATGAGGTAAAGGTTGCTGCTGACAGACATGTACTCACTAATTTGCTGGCATTCATCTGAACAAAGAACAATTCTGGGTGGTTTTTTTTTTTCCTTCTTCCTCATATTTTCTTCTTTTAAAAATAAATGTGCAACCCTCAACTCATACAAATTAGAACAAATCCTTTAAATTATTTGGAACAGTGATGATACACACTCATTAGAAATCTAGATACACCAGAAAAGCTTGCTGGGACTAGATTTTTTTTTCCTTATTTTTTGCCAGAAAATCATTGTTTTTATAGGAAAAACAGAGACATCCCAAAGCTATTTTTCAGCACACTACGGGCTGCACCTTGTCAAAAATCAAGATTTAGTATGATTTGATCTATTTTAATGTAAGCAAAATAATAAGTTTGAATAAAAGTGCTGATGGTATCAACCCTAATTCTTGATCATTGTAAAAAAAAAAAAAAATGGGGAACAACATATTTTCAACACATTTTGGTATCAAAACCAGGGTCTATGTGTACTGAAACTATGGCAAATACAGACTTAGCATTAAAGAGGCACTGGATACAACCATAACTAGCAGTACTGCTGAGAAACACTCTCCTTAATACAGACACAGAGCTTCTCATTTACTCTCTTGCTGAACATTTTAGTGCCACATTCCTGTTTGCACAGTGACAGAAGTCCACCAAGAAGGCTGCAGAGCATTCAGCCTCAGTGTTGTCAACAGCATTGTGGCTTGTTTTCTTGAGACTCATTTTAAAACAGAAGAGAAAACCAACTACTTGTCTTCACCCAAAAGGGACAGCGAGGTACCCAAGACTGGAAGAGCAAATTTCAAGAGAGGTCTTTTGCCAGAGTTTCCTTGGGTGGGCTCAGCTGTTATGAGCTGTTAAATCCCATTACAAGTCACCTAACTAGCTCTTCACGGGGTGTAAAGAATTTATGTTTTCATTGTAGTTACAAACCTGCCTTGCTAGAATCTTGCCAGAAACCAAGAAGTACATTAGGATGAAAGAAGGAGATATTTAGACAGAATTTACTTATTCAAACTGGTATTAGGCTAGAACTAGTCTTCATTTCTTAAAAAAAAAAAAAAGAAAAAGAAAAAGAATGAGCAAACTGGGGATTTTTAATTAATAATCAAATCCTTTTTATAACTATTCAGTACATTTTTTTTGTAATAACTGGCATCTCTTAATTTGGGATTAGATCAATGGTGAATTGGACAAGAAGCAACTTTTTTTTTTAAAGCCATCAAAAAGCCTCGGTCTGATGGCAACTTGAAAGAGCATTTGACATGAAATGAGATAAAAGACATACTGGCTCTTGGTCAAAAATTATGACATCTCTTTGGACACTGTGAAATGAACACCTGGCAACTGCATCTCTTCATTATCAGACACTTAATGATCTGCAGGAAAGATAAGAGTTGGCAAAAGAGGAGTATGACACTATGACACTAACTTGGATCACAAATGCTGTGCATGAGGGGAAACAACTTCCCACAGAGATATTTTAAGTGAGATGCAAAACAAAGAGACTTGATAGAAAGGTTTTGATGGTGGATCATCAAGAAAAGCAAAAGACGTTTGTCTCAAGTGAGGTGGAGACTTTTGTCTTGGTATTTACATACCATAAACTTAGATGAACTGTCACACTTCTGTGGATGGTCATAGTTTTTTATAAGGCTACAAGACTGCATTAACATTTACTCTCTGTGCCTCAGGATTTCATACACATCACTGATAATATAACTATCTCACCTCACAAAGGGTGTCATGAGATTAATTAACATGCCCACCAAGATACACACCTCTATCCCAATTATGTTCCTCAAATTTCTTTTAAATATAATAACATTCACAGTAAACAGGAAATATTACGATGAATTATTTTCTAGGTTCACCAGCAATACTTGTATAAAAGAAAAAAAATCAGAGTGCTTGGGAAACTGTTTATGTTCCTATATAATGGGATGGTGAAGTACTGCTGTTGGTTCACAATAAAAAGGCAGACTAAACAACCAACACCGCAGCAAACTCTGATAATCCATAATTAACATTAATGGAAAACATAAACAATCAGCAAAACACTCTCCTAAATGTACAAAAGTACCAAACACGCAAAAATATGGTTTTCCAGGAACTAATTCAACTGCCAAGAAGAAAGACAATCTTACAGTAACCTCTGACTCACAAAGATGATGAAATAACTAGGATGTTGCTTGCAAGTATCATCTTAGACAATTCAGTGCTTTCAAATAACTATCTAGAGAGAGTTGTAGAATGCTGGAACAGGTTGCCCAGAGAGGTGGTGGATGCTCCATCCCTGGAGACGTTCAAGGCCAGGTTGGACGAGGCCCTGAGCAACCTGATTTAGTTGTAAATATCCCTGTTCCTTGCAGGGGGGTTGGACTAGATGACCTTTGAAGGTCCCTTCCAGCCCTAACCATTCTATGATTCTATGATCTAGGACCTGGATGCTGAAACAGATGGAGAGAAAAATCAGGGTTTAATCTCGCGTGTGGATTCAGAGGTCACTAGGAGATGGAATAGAGCGAGAGTAAAATAAACTTTGCAGCTCTGAAAATAATTGTCACAATGAGTTACCCATCTCTCAGAGAAAGGGTGTCCGTCTGTAGGAGAACTGAATGAAAAAATTCTCTCTTTCAGTGGAATCCTTAATCCTTCCTAATAGTCTAGAAACATCCTTTGGCCAACTGTGCTTTGAAGGCCATTAGTCTGTAAAGAAATACGCTAACCTTGTGCATCCCACTTCTCCGCGGCTTGAGGCCAACCAGGGTGCTCACCACAGCAGACAGGCTGCTTTGAAAATAGTCTTTCAAAAAACCAAAGACGACTTAGGAGACGGGCAAAAGCCGCTCAGCACCAGGCGCTGAGCCTGCTCGTGCTCAGGGTCTGGCAAAGGCACTGATAGGAGCCGCTTCAATTTCCTGCTCTACCCACAAGTTCTCCTGTTTGACCTTGGGCAAGGCAGTCATCCCTTCAATGCCTCATTTCTCTCTGAAATAGCAGCCACGTGTCATGGCGCTGTTATGAAAATAAATAGGGTTATGCAAACAGATCCCAAATGAACCGTGTATCTGTCTGGGAAAGAGACAAACGAGCACGCTCAGGAGCGCTAAAATTATAATAATCACCATAAAGTTAGGAACAACATTACTGACATGTCTTGGTAAAGACTCCCTTTAGCCTGTGCAATTCATTATATTCCTAAATAATTTCACAGTATTTCAAACTCCCGTTTAATACGACAAAGCTCCAAACAAAACCATGGACTGTAGGGAACAACCTGCCAGAGGGCAAAGAAACAAAATTATCTCAAATATTGTTCCCTGCTCTCAATTTTCATAGGTTCATGGAGGACCTATGGTCCATAGTCCATAGCTTGGTGAAAATTATTATTTTATTATCTCCCATGTCATTATTTCAAAAAGAAAACTTCAAAACCTGCAGTGCATTACAAAGAATAGTGTAAAAAACTCTTCTCAAAACTGTACTCAGTCTGCTCACAATTTCTTGACAAATTCCAAACACACAAAATGACATGCACCCGAAGCGGGGGGGGGGGGAAAAGTCAGATCTTCAAAAATCAGGATTTGAAAAGCACTCTAGACGCATGCTTCATTTCACAGACAGGCAAAAACCGTCACCAGTTTAGAATGAGTTCATACGTTATAGGCAAACAGTTAGGGATAGGAAAAACTCAGAAATGGTCTGATGGAGGCCCACCAAGCTCAAGACAGGTCTACCACATTGTTGTACCAGAAACGGCACAGGACCTGTTTCTCAAGAGGTTTTCCATCTTCTTGGCAAAACTGGAAATATTGAAAAAGCTGCAGCTGTTGACTGCAACAGTAACATTATGGCATTTCTCATTTTTCAGTCAACAATAGTAGTTGGTGCGTGTAGGCACAAGGAATGAGCATTAGATTAAATTAAACTAAATTTACCTTCAAGTTTCAACAGAAGTTTGGTTTGCATTTGGACTGAAAAAGTCTGATTCAGAGGCAGGCCTGGAATTTCTGCTTAATCCAAACTTGTTTGCCTGACCTTTCAAAGTCATTAAACAGGAAGAAATGGGTCTTAAAAAAATACAACCTCTTATTTTATGAGCCTCTGGCCCACTTAAATGTTGGCTGAAAATACACATTACAACTTTATCCTGTATACCCTTACTCAGGTGGACAATTGTACTGACGTAAGATTTTTATTTTTAAAAAATTTTTTACTCTCTAATTCTGTTCAACATATAAAAATAACAACAACAACAAAAAACTTTTATTCCACACCACAACACGAAAGAAAGAAAACCAAAATTAGGTCAGTAGAATAGAATGCTATTGATGCACAGACATAGTAATTGAAAAATACCTACTTTGTGAATTCAAAAGCAAAGACGCCTATTTTTTTATGACTCCAAAATTACAATAATTAAATAAATCCAAGACTAAGATAGAGACACACAAAGAGAGAAAATAAAAAGAAACACTAGTGTTCACTCTCCTAGGAGAAACAAAGATGACCCCACCTTAAATAATTCAAACTCCTTCTTTGGCATCAACAGCTACCAATCCACAAAGGATATTTGCAATTAAAATAAATGCATACACATCCATTAGGATCAAAATTACCACCTCTAAGCAAATAAGCAGAAAAAAAAAAAACTTAAAGGAAAAGATATTGCTGTTTCTCTATCAACTTTATCCTCGTGTTAGACTCTACGCAATACAGACATCAGCCTCGATCTATAAAACAAATACAAATATACAAATATTTGGACATATCAGTGGGACATGCAGATATTTTAGCTCTCCTGTGTATGTCCTCCTCCTCCTCCTCCTCCTCCACACACACACTTCAAAAGACATTTCGCTCCTAAGGAGCAGACAGTACCTGGATGGTGCGGGTATACGCAGGCTCTGACCATCCTGGACCACCTTCTTGATTCCTCAGAGGATCCAAAATGTTGTTTGGCACAAAGCCTGTGCTGCCGCTTTTATTCTGAACCTTCCACCACTGCTTTCTGTCATCCAGAATCTGAAATAATTTGGTAAATTAATTATGGATTTTTTCTGACTTTCCTCCTGCCAATACTTAGACTGTGCATCGTTTCAAAACAAAACCATAACTTTGCCAGGTTCTGCAATTGCCAACAGATCTTACACAGATGTCCCTAAGGCTTCCCTAACCCTGTAGGCTTCCCTGATTATCACCATTGCTAATCCTACATGGCAATACTGCACCTTTCAAAACGTGGCTCTCAAGATAAGATAGGGAAGAAAAGGGTGTAATGAACCTCTGTAAACTCAGACATGTGCTGGGCAAGACAGCGGAACGAACATCAAATACTTGCCCAGAGAGGCTGGCATCTCTCTACAACCTACACGCTGTTGACAAAAGGAGTAAGAAACCACTAATAACCCAAGGAAAAGTGCATCATTCTAGGAGAGCACAAATTTGGAGAGAGAGCACTTCTGAGTAAACAGGGAACTGGAGCCGGATGGCCAGGAGAAGTCTGAAATCTGACTACTTGGCGTGCAATCTCATGCACACCATTTTCTCCCTCTGTTTCTCCCTCCCTTCCAAATGTGTCTAGCTTTCAGGGCACCAGCTGTTCCAGGAAACCCTTTCACTATGCCCTCTGTGTACACAGATAGCGTTTACCAGAGCCACTTTTTAAAATAAGCAACACCAGAAAAGACGGAATAAACACACAAACATATTTCTAGCATGGATCTCTACAGCATCAATTCATAAGCCAGTGGAGAATCTCTGGTTTTCTTGTCTATGACGCAGAACAAATAAAATGAACCTTTCCTATTAAGGGAGAATTGAAGCAATCAATCATTAAGGACAGCCACAGGGTCCACAGGAAAGGTACCCTCAGCTTTCAGTAGTACCAGAAATTCCTGTTTTCTCTGCAAAAAAACATTACCTCTACAATCTCTTCTTTCATGACAGAAAGCTCACTGTTGTTTCTTGCCATAAATTCGTACTTGCACTTGGCATATTTCTTGGTCTGTGCTTTACTGTGTGCTTCATAGTTTCTGCAAAGCAAAGAGCAACCTACTGTTCAGTGAGACATTCGGGCAAATAAAAACACAGACAAAATATCCTCTTCCAACAACCTGCAAAACAAACAAAAAACCCTGCCCCACCACGCTATGATGCTGCTGTAGAACGACCTATTCGTAACACACTGATTTAAGTGCCAAAAAAAAAAAAGAAAAAAAGAAACAAAAGAAAGAGGCAGTTGAGCTACATGGACCTCCAGAATCAGTCATCTTTATTGGCTCCCTGCTTGCAAGATGTGTGATAACAACTCTAGATTAGCAGGTGCCATTGTTTTAAAATAAACACGTACACTGTATTTAGTCTGTTTTCCTTCAGGAGGTCAATCATTTGCCATAAAAAACAATGACTATGCTTGATATCTTGTGCTTTGTATGAACCGTATTGCTAGTGTTCATCACAAATTGTTTCAAATACATAACAAATTTTTGCCATCAACATCAATAGAATTAATAGAATTAAATAGAATTAATAGAATCAATAGAATTAAACTCTCAAAAAAGCTCGCCTACTGTAGATCAGTTTTCTTAATTGACCAGAAGGTACCATGAACTCTAACAACCTTAAGTTACTGTATCAATTAAAAATGCAAAAATAATTTCTTGGCAGTTACAAACAGGGTGCATTGTAGAACAAGGCATATCACAGCTTAACTCCGTATCTTTCCATTTCCATGAGGAAAGACCTGTTCAGAGCACCTTTGGGTAAGAAGCTACTAGGTTCTTTGATGTAGCACCTCTTCAAGTCCAGAAGCCTCCCAGCCCCCTCAAAACAGGTCCAAAAGAAACAGTAACATTATTCACTTATTGCAAATTACACCAAACAACCCAAATCCATACCAAGTAGCAAAGTTTTGAAAAAAAATAAGAATCCAAACAGATAATGAAAATATGAAGCAACTGACGGCTTGAAATGCTGCACACAACACTGCAGCCCAGGGACACGAATGCAGATGGTTGCTGATGGTGGTGCAGTGTAACCGTGGTCCCAAGTGTGCCTGAGCAATCCAGGAGTTAGCTAGCTATGGCATGGCTGTGGAGAACTGTCTCACTTGACTTGATGAGCAGAACAAAGGAAGAGTTGTATTTAGACCAAAAGATTATTCCGAAAGAAAGACAAAAAAGTGTTTAAGGAGAGAGTGAATCATAGAATCATAGAATGGTTAGGGCTGGAAGGGACCTTCAAAGGTCATCTAGTCCAACCCCCCTGCAAGGAATAGGGATATCTCCAACTAGATCAGGTTGCTCAGGGCCTCATCCAACCGGGCCTTGAACGTCTCCAGGGATGGTGCATCCACCACCTCTCTGGGCAACCTGTTCCAGTGTTCTACAACTCTCATGGTAAAAAATTTTTTCCTAATATCCAACCTGAATCTACCTCTCTCTATTTTAAAACCATTACCCCTTGTCCTATCACAACAGGCCCTCCTGAACAGCCTCTCCCCATCTTTCTTGTAGGCCCCCTTGAGGTACTGGAAGACCGCTATAAGGTCCCCCCGGAGCCTCCTCTTCTCCAGGCTGAACAGCCCCAACTCTTTCAGCCTGTCCTCATAGGAAAGGTGCTCCAGCCCTCTTATCATCTTCGTGGCCCTCCTCTGGACCCTCTCCAACTGGTCCATGTCCTTCTTATGTTGGGGACTCCAGAACTGGACGCAATACTCCAGGTGAGGTCTCACGAGGGCAGAGTAGAGGGGGAGAATCACCTCTCTCGATCTGCTGGCCACGCTCCTCTTGATGCAGCCCAGGATGCGGTTGGCCTTCTGGGCCGCAAGAGCACATTGCCGGCTCATATTGAGCTTCTCGTCCACCAGTACTCCCAAGTCCTTCTCCTCAGGGCTCCAAGGATGAACCCCAGCCTGCAGATTAGCTGTTACGAGGCTGAAAGAGGTGTGAGTAATCTCAATTTCTTCCGCCACCCACTCAAAATTCAAATCATTTTGAACTCATTTCTTACTGTCTCAGGGATATGACTAATGTACCTCTGAAGGTGCTTTTCAGGCTGGCTTTCCAAACTCATTTCACCAACTGCGTCTTCCTACCTTGTCCACACCTAACTATCCTGATCCCTTCAAAAAACATAACTCAAGGAGAATTTTTAAAAATGCTTACATTTCAGTTTTACTCCACTCTGTTGCAACCAACAGCAACTTCCCCAGAACATGGGCCAGGCAACAGCTATATGCTTCTGAAGAGACCATAATTCTTCAAGCCCAGCTCAATGAGCCAAACAGTTTACTTAGGGCATAAACGTTCTCAACACTTCCCTCCATACATCCTCCACTGTGTTATCTCACTGCCTATCAGACATACCGTAACTGCAGCCCTCCGCTCTCCAGTGCACACTGCTCAAGGGTCTACTGGATTGTAGAGACTTCCAGGGTGCTTTTCATCAAACGACACAAGTGCAAGATCAAACTACATTGAGGGTGGTGAGGCACTGGAACAGGTTGCCCAGAGAACTTGTAGATGCCCCATCCCTGGAAGTGTTCAAGGCCAGGTTGGATGAGGCTTTGAGCAACCTGGTGTAGCGGAGGGTGTCCCTGCCTATGGCAGGGGGGTTGAAACTAGATGATCTTTGAGGTCCCTTCCAACCCAAACCATTCTATGATACACAGCATACTACTTTCAAACACCACAAAACTGGCTGAAAAACTATTCAGTTCTCTTTCAGCATCAGGGAGAGTCCCCGATATACCTAATATCACACTGAAAGTTTAAGATGCTGACACTTGGTTTACATCACCCAAGGAAAGCATACCTTACTGGAGGTCATTGAATCACAGAATGGTTTGGGTTGGAAGGGACCTCAAAGATCATCTAGTTCTAACCCCCCTGCCATGGGAAGGGACACCCTCCACTACACCAGGTTGCCCAAAGCCTCATCCAACCTGGCCTTGAACACTTCCAGGGATGGGGCATCTACAAGTTCTCTGGGCAACCTGTTCCAGTGCCTCACCACCCTCTAGGCGAAAAATTTCTTCCTTAGATCTAATCTAAATCTCCTTTCTTTCAATTTAAAGCCATTAGGTCCTGGCACATTGGAATAAGGCTCACTGAAGTTCCCTGTGATTGAAATTTCCCTGGACAAGGTATAACCTACCTGTCCCTCAGAAGGTAGTGGGTGGCTCAGTCACTGCCTTTGGACTGCTCATTAGGAACGTCAGCTTTGAACAAGGACCAGCAAACGATGGCTGAAAGGGTCAGCTTGAATTTCTCCCTCCCTCCCCTAAACCCACTCCTCAACCTACTTCTTCACAGATGCTTTAAAATTTATCTTTAAACAGAAGTTACCTGGGGCAGTACATATCAACAGCTTTCCCCCAGTAACGAGATCCTACCAGAGCAGGTACTATATGTCTCAAGAGCCAATTAACAAATGGAAGTCTGTGCCGTGTTGAGCAGGCTGGGAGATAGAGGCACACTGTGGATGTCTGCATCAGCTCCAGCCATCTAGACTCCTTCCTGCAATCAGTGGCGAGAAACGGGCACCACTACAGCATGTCTCACTTCCTATCTTTCAAAAGGCTAATGTCACCTTACAGGAGCTGCTTCTTAGAAACACCCCTTTCTCTTTACCCTCCACAAAGGAGGCTTGGATGACTCTTTCAGTTGCAGTCAGATACACTGATACCATCAATGGTTCAATGCAGTAAGCCTCACTCTCTAAACCCGAAATGAAGGCAACAACATTTGCACGGAATACTCTTACTCCGAAAGGACAAAGCAGGTCTTATTACATTACAGATAAGAGAGAAAGGAATTTAGAGTACAGATCATCCAGATTTCAAGCTGACTGGTCCTGAAACACAGAAAGTAATCAAGTTTGAGAAAAAGATTAGAGATGACTACTACTGCTGTTGTTCTTATGAAGAACAAATCCAAAGTTCAGGAAAAGAATCGAGTCTTCACTCTGCACACCACATGGGAATATGTTTGCATGCAGATTAACAGGATCTTTTAGCACATAGCTCAAAACTAGAGGTCATGCCAAGATTTTCTTCAAAAGAGTTATATTTGTTTTAGCCAGCAATCTGATCCCCAAAAATTAAACATCTTCCGTGGCACATAAACTAAAATACTCTTTATATGGTGTATACAGACAATGGTTTGGCACGGGAGATCATTTCCAACACTGCTTTACCAATTTACTTCCAGTTTGTACTGGTATAAATTGTCCCCACAGACAAGGTCGAGACTCCAAGGATCACTGTGTTTGATCTTGTCATGCTAATCAGATTTAGGCTAAAATGAAGGGGAAGAAAGAGGATGTGCAAAAAGACACTGGCTGCTATGCAAACATTTCAGAGCATTTTTCATAATATTTGAAAGAGAATGGAAGAAATAAGGAGTTACCATACTGAAAGTAGATTTTTATGCACCAGTCCAGAAAACAAAAGCAGGAGACTATGGAACACTAAGTGAGCAGCGAAACAAATTGAACAATCATTCAAAACAAGGACAGATGAATCTCAGAGCAGTTGTGTCATTCTTTGCAGTTCTGAAAAAAGTAAAGTGCGTATTTAAAACCATGAAACAAAGCAGAAACAAAATTTGAACACCAACAGAAGGATTCCGTGTTCTCAATTGGGTTGGAATACCATTACATCGTTTTTGACAGAAGCATCGATTTAACAGCACACCCAAACAGGGCAGTTCCAGAAAACCAGAAATAATGATCTTTTCCAGACACAACCAGAGGTGATTACAGAGACCGCCACCCCAACAGCACGAAGTCGGGACAGTTATCCACAGCACCACGTACGCCGTTGACTCGGTGTTACCTATCTACGTGTCGGCTAACGGTTTGCTTAAAGGCAGCAACAGCCGCCCCCTGGTCCAGCAGAGGCCCTCTTTTGTAAACGGTGTTACTGAATGCATACCCGTCGGATGGAGGGTAGTCGGGAACACCGGGAGGCTGGAAGACAAAAAAGAAACAAAGTGGATCAGTGTCACCAGCAGCACCGCCCAGCTCACTTAATCCCGCAGCCCTGGCATCCCCGTCAGCATCCACGTGTCCTCTGCTATGAGAAGTTAATAACTCCTGCGTTTCAAATACATAAGCAGGGAGATCAAAAGGATAAGAATAAAAGAATTTCTATCCTAAGTCATCCCACTGCATTAATATTGCAGTGGATGCTCTTCAGAAAAACAGTTCTCCGGGGCAAGGTCCGTGTCATCTCTCAGATATCGTTACAGCAACACAACTTACCAACAATGGCTGAATGGCTTTAAAATAAACTGCACTGAGAAACCTCTTTGAGCTTTTGTTGGAGGTGTACACTTAACGTCAGAAACTCCTAGCTAGCTAACAGGGAGTCTGTGTAAGAAACAAAACCTCCCAAGTAAAATTATCACTCTATTGTAGCATCATAATATCAAGTCATATGACTACAGTGGAAGAAGAAACGCAAAAAGGAATGCGGTAGTTGGCAAAATTAAGGATTTTAATTAAGGAAAATAATCACAATTGATCACAGGCAAATATATAAGAATATTCAAGTTCAAAAAGAATTTCCTAAAGCTTAAAAAAGTACACCTTAAATCCAGCAATGATAATCTGCTTCTAAGTTCTGCTCCTAATAATTCTAAGAATCATTTTAACCACCATTCCTCAAAATAAAACCAAGCTATGCAGTTCATTTCTGGAGATGACGATATTGACATTGCTTATTCTAGATCTTTTCCTTATCCCACCATCCAGTTGCAGAAGTTAGAAACTTGAGATTCATCAGAAATTGCCAAATCTCTAAACCTGGTTTGTTGTTTTTTTTTGGTATTGGGTTTTGTTGTTTTGTTTTGGTTTTTTTTCTGTCTGTGTGGCTACAGAAAAGCTGCTCACCTAATTTCCACCTCCAAGTATCTGAGCTGGCACCCAGGACACTTGCCTACGGGGCTGAGGGTTTATGAAGAGAAATTAAAACCACACAAAAACACCCATACATAGAATATTCTTTAAAACTATATTATTAAGACACCTCTGAAAAAAATCTCAAGTGTCACCTAGCTTATACCTTACATCAAAGGACATCCAGGAAGCAGGAACCCGTTTTACTTCAAACACAAATTATGTGCATTGCCTTAGCCTCACTGGACTCTCCATCACCAGTTCCCTGTTGTTTCACTGCCATTTGAAGTCTTCATCATTGAACTGACTCCACTTTGAAACCCCTCCGGTGGAGTTGTGTGCGTGACTAGATCTTAAGATTCAGGAATCATAGAACCATAGAATCATAGAATGGTTAGGGCTGGAAGGGACCTTCAAAGGTCATCTAGTCCAACCCCCCTGCAAGGAACAGGGATATCTCCAACTAGATCAGGTTGCTCAGGGCCTCATCCAACCTGGCCTTGAACGTCTCCGGGGATGGAGCATCCACCACCTCTCTGGGCAACCTGTTCCAGTGTTCTACAACTCTCATGGTAAAAAATGTTTTCCTAATATCCAACCTGAATCTACCTCCCTCTATGGAGGAAATGAATGGAAATGAATGGAAAGAAACACAAAAAACTCAACAACAAAAAAAGCAGTTCTCGAGCAGGAACCTCCAACGCACTTTGCCAGATGCCAGAGCAGCCCCTGCCCAGCACTCCCAGTGTGGCACAGCTCTCGACATGCCCCCTGGGTCCTCGGGAGAGAAATGTCACACCGAAACAAACACTTGAATTCTCATTTTTCCAGCACCCTTCGTTAAACAAGCTGTTACTACAGACTTCTGAAAGAAAAATTCTTCTGGTATCACTCCAGGGCGGTCCTTTTGCTACAGACAAAGAGCAATTCCCACTCGCCCAGCTTTTTCCAGCTGAGCACCCATTTCACAGCTATTAAGCAGCTTTTTCCTCTAGGGATGTGCTGAGGAGGCACAGACGAGGAAGCCAAGGTACCCAGGTCAAACGTCTTGGCCAAGACCACATGGGAACCAGGGACAGCCATGAAACGAAGGCCTGCCATCCCAGGTGCCAGGCACACGAACGCCTAAGGTGAACTGGGATTTATGTATTTTTTTCGTCTTCTGAAGATTAAGACAAAGATGCTAAGTCAGCACAATTACCAACCCAACCAATATCACCATCATGACAAAATGAAATCGGCTCCCTGAAACACGAGCAGCCAAAATCCCTCAATGTATTGTCCCCCTCCAAATTCACTTGAACTTATTAGATATATGAGTAATAAATGAAATTCTTACAATTGTCAGAAGAGAAAAATTTATGTTGTTCTTTTTTTTCAATGCTATTTTACCTTTTTTTAAGTATTATTTAGAAGGACCATAATGTAAACAAAAATCCTGTATGGAAACATAGAGCAGCAGTGAAACACTGAGACAATGCTTGATGAGGGTTGTTTGGAAGATGACTAGGGAAGCGGGTTACAGGGATAGAAACAGCTAAATTTCACATTACTGTGCCCATTAACTTCACTAAATGCTTTTTCTCTCAAAAGAAATCACAGGCAATAACTTAGGTTTTGGTGCATTTATTCTTGTCTATTTTGTTAGGCACAAAGCCAGTGTTTTAAGTAATCAAATATGTGCCACGTTATCCTCCTTTGCTTGGCAGACTTTTTACCCAGTTTGTTCCTCTCTATAGCAGAGCAGACTTTTTTTTTTTT